CAAGAGCTGTCAGGCTTCCTCCTGGGGGTCAGGGTGCAGTTGGCGGGAAGATGAAGCCACCTTGGAACAGGAATGCTTTCTATAGCGTCCTGGGAATGCGCCCTCAGCAGGCCACCCACGCACTGGGAACACATTGGAACCGCTGCTTTTCTGGGTTAAGGGTTTTTTTTATCTACAAGTGAGTCCCAAGAAAATCACCGAGACTGTCAGAACCCCACAGATTTTTTTCTCCAAGGGATATTCAACCTCAAATGAATGGAAACTTCCCATGTCCCCACAGAAGGCTTTCATTTATTTTTATTTATTTTAATTCTTAGATTTTGGCCAGGTGTGGTGGCTCACGTCTATAATCCCAGCACTTTGGGAGGCCGAGGCAGGTGGATCATGAGGTCAGGAGTTCAAGACCAGCCTGGCCAAGATGGTGAAACCCCATCTCTACTAAAAACTGCAAAAATCAGCCGGGCACAGTGATAGGCATCTGTAATCCTAGCTACTCAGGAAGCTGAAGCAGGGGAATTGCTTGAACCCAGACAGCAAAGGTTGCAGTGAACCAGCATCATGCCACTGCACTCTAGCTTGAGTGACAGAGTGAGACTCTGTCTCAAAAAAAAAAAAATTCTTAGAGTTTATTTTGTAAAGACAGGATCTTGCTATGCTGCCCAGGGTGGTCTTGAACTCCTGGATTTGAACTCCTGGATATATTTTCCAAGATATCCTCCCACTTTGGCCCCCCAAAGTGCTGGGATTACAGGAATGAGCTTGGCGCATAGAAATCTTTTTAGTTACCAGGTGGAAAGTAACAGGCTTAATTCTTTCAAATGAACCCAAGTGTTCCAACTAATCTGTTTTAAAAGGCAGCCTTTAGGCCAAGCACGGTGGCTCATGCCTGTAATCCCAGCACTTTGGGAGGCTGAGGTGGGTGGATCACGAGGTCAGGAGATTGACACCACCCTGGCTAACACAGTGAAACCCCGTCTCTACTAAATAATACAAAAAATTAGCCGGGTGTGGTGGCAAGTGCCTGTAGTCCCAGCTACTTGGGATGCTGAGGCAGGAGAATCAGTCGCTTGACCTGGGAGGCAGAGGTTGCAATGAGCCAAGATCATGCCACTGCACTCCAGCCTGGGTGACAAGAGCAAGACTTCATCGCAAAACAAAACAACACAAAAAAGGCATTCTTTAACATACCCAACCTTCACTTTTTAAAAACACTGCCAGGCACAGTGGTTTATGCCTGTAATCCCAGTACTTCAGGAGGCTGAGGCACGTGGATCACAAGGTCAGGAGTTCGAGACCATCCTGGCCAACATATGAAACCCTGTCTCTACTAATAATGTAAATAAATTAGCCAAGCACGGTGGCAAGCACCTGTAGTACTAGCTACTGGGGAGGCTGAAGCAGGTGAATTGCTTGAACCCAGGAGGCAAAGGTTGCAGTGACGCTAATGCACTCCAACCTGGGTGACAGAGCAAGACTCCGTCTCAGAAGAGAAAAAAAAACTGCTATAATGTTGTTTTTCCTGAAGGTTTATAAACACGGCATTCAAGACTTTTCTTTTCCTTGTAAGGTTTTGCCTACAATACAGAGCATGCTTCTACCGGGGTGATCATTGGTTCAAACTGCCTGGATTCGGCCAGCTATGGGGCTAATTAAAAGAGAATTGATACTTCTTTTTTCTTTTCTGAAACGGAGTTTTGCCCTTGTTGCCCAGGCTGGAGTGCAGTGGTGAAATCTCAGCTCACTGCAACCCCTGCTGACCAGATTCAAGCGATTTTCCTGCCTCAGCCTCGCGAACAGCTGGGCCCGCCACCTGATTTTTGTATTTTTAGTTAAGATGGGGTTTCACCATGTTGGCCAGTCTGGTCTCAAACTCCTGACCTCAGGTGATCCATCCACCTTGACCAACCAAAGTGCTGGGATTATAGGTGTGAGCCACTGTGCCAGGCCTGTATGACTGTTTTCCCTTCAGAAGTGTCCTTATTACTTACCCTTTTTTGGGAAAACAAACAAACAAAAGGCCTGTCCCACCCATCTAGTCCTTATTATTGTACTCTCTTTCCTGGGTTTTGTGAATGAGGAAAACTGAATTTAGTCTTTCCCGTAGAATCCCATACCATTTACGTCTTGCTTCTGATACAAAACTTCAGTTATAAATTTTTCACTAAATATCAGAAAACGTTTTTTTTTTTTTTTTAAGGGACTCGCCTTTCATTTGTATCTGAGCTTTGTATCTGACTTCAGAGGCACTTCCAGTCAGGCGCAGCTCTGTCCTGGGCACAGACTCACTGCCTGTCCTCAAAGAGGCCTTTTCCTTCCACACCAGGGACACCTGCTCTGAAGCCCACCCTGCTGAAGGCCAGGGGAACAGTCACAGGTGTTGTCATCAGCATCCAGGAAAACAGGATCTGAGAGGAGATTCTGAGAGGGTGAAAGGGCGTGTAGGAAATGGAACCAGTCACTCTGCTGTCTTTGCTTTTTTTTGGGGGGGGGTGGGTGGGGGACGGGGTTTCACCATCTTGGCCAGGTTGGTCTTGAACTCCTAACCTCGTGATCCACCCACCTTGGCCTCCCAAAGTGCTGGGATTACAGGCTTGAGCCACCACGCTCGTCCACTCTGCTGTCCTTGACGCGGTACCTCTTTCTCTGCCGCTACGCCCATCTTTTGTCTTTTGTGGTCTGTGATGCTTTCTCTTTGTCTCTCAGGAGGCCAAGTTGACTAAAATCATGAAATGGGGCTGGGTCCATTGGCTCACGTCTGTAATCCCAGTACTTTTTGGGAGGCTGAGGTGGAAGGACCGCTTGAGCTCAGAAGTTCGAAATTCGGTCAAGCTATGATCATGCCATTGCACTCCAGCCCGGGTGACAGAGCCAGTCCTGTCTCAAAAAAAAAAGAAAGAAAGAAAAAGAAAAAAACATTTAATCTAGTCCAAGTCCCTTTCACATAATAGACAGGGACTCTTGGGGCCCAGGGAGATTATCTCAGTTCCTCAGTCACTGACCCAGCTTGTGGGAGAACAGGCCACGATCCAGGCTCCTGTCTTCACAGCTTTATCTGATGCCCCAAGCCCAAATAAACTCAGCGGGGAGAGGGTGGGCTGGCTCTTGAGGTGCTCGGAGGTCACTGCATAGGTCTGGGCTCACTCCAGAGCCAGCACCCTCAGCTCATTTGGGAACACTTGTGCCATTTATTTTATTTGATGTATTTATTTTTGGAGCGAGGCCTTTCTCTGAGTGCCATTTATCATAGCACCATTTATCATGTGTCTACCACATTGCACGATCCCAAGGGCTTTGCCTAGAGTTTCTCAGTTTTCACCCAAGCTCTGCAAAACTCTATCCGTTCTGTTTGACACAGGAGGGAGCGTTAAGCAACGAGGTTGAGATCACACATCGGTGAGCAGGGAGGCCAAGGAAGCCCGGGCTCCTCTCATTGCAAGCCTGCGCTGGTTCCGTTCGCGATGCAGGCTCCCAAAATCCACACTCTCTCAAGACTGAGGGTAGACAGTGCCCAGTGCGAATGCACTCGCGTCCCTGGAAGGCACCATAACCGTGTCTAACCACATCACTTGTTTCAACCCATCATCACAACCTCTCCGCAGTGGGAAACTCACTTGGAAATGCAAATTAAGATGGGAAAGTTACTTATTGAACACAATGACAGAACAAAGGAAACCCCGTATCCTTGGAGGATCCTCTTATCAAGGCGATAGCCTAGTGAGACAGCACCTCCGCTGTGGGGCTGGCTCCTGCCCCTGCCTAGCCGGTGGGAGGACTTGTGTCAGCCTGCCCCGACACCACTCTGACACAGCGCATCTCTGGGGCCACCTGGCAAACTCAGCCTGACTCTTTCCTTTGTGACCACATTTTCACAGCTTCCCCAGTTACATTTCAGAGGAGTCACAACTCACAGCTCATTTTGTGGTTGAGTACAGTTTAAGTGGTCGATTTTGTTTTGTTTTGTTTTGTTTGAGACAGAGCCTTGCTCTGTCGCCCAGGGTGGAGTGCAGTGGCGCAATCTGGACTCACTGCAACCTCCGAAGTGACCGCTTCTTAATGAAATCTGGGGAAGGTCCCCTTGCATCTCCAGGCAATAGTTAGGCAGGATCGCCTCTGGGAAATGGTTAGCTTTCTAAATCTCATTTACCGCACATGCATTCAAGTACACGTCAAAGACTTCGGACCTTGCTTGACTGGAGTCCCGGAGCCAACTGGAAATCCAGTTTCCATTGGTCTGTAGTAGCCACTGTTTATCACTGACACCCAAGGTTTTTGTTTTTCTCTTTTGTTTGCTCTCGTTGATAGCATATGCTTTTATTTATTTATTTTTTTTTTTAGAGAAAGAAAGAGATAAAAGGAATGAAGAAGAGGAAAAAAGAGGAAGAGGAGGAGGGAGAGAGAACAGGAGTGTTGTTTAGTTGCCCAGGCTAGAATGCAGTCTAAAAATGGGTGGCATATGCTTTTATCCCAACAAACAGCATAAAAGGGGAGACGCTCTCCTCCCTGCCTAAACATCTGATCCTGTTACACATTGATATTTAATTATTTTCAATTAAAAGTGACAATCTGTGTTCCAAAACGTGATTGTGTGCTTCCGCATCTACCACAGACATGCATGTATGTATGTGTTTATTCATTAAGACAGAGTCTCTATACAAAGTGAAATTAGACAAATTAATTTAAAAAAATAAAATAAAAAGACAGTCTCTCTCTCCTTGCCCAGGCTGGAGTGCAGTGGTGCAATCTTGGCTGACTGCAACCTCTGCCTCCTAGGTTCAAGCGATTCTCCTGCCTCAGCCTCCCGAGTAGCTGGGATTAGAGGCGTGCACCACCATGCCCAGATAATTTTTGCATTTTTAGTAAAGGTGGGGTTTTATCATGTTGATCAGGCTGGTCTCAAACTCCTGACCTCTTGATCACCTGCCTTGGCCTCTCAAAGTGCTGGGATTACAAACGTGAGCCAACGCTCCAGGCCACAGTTTTTTAAATGTTAAATTCCACACTTGCTTCGGCAGCACATTGATTAAAATTGCAATGATACAGAGATTAGCATGGTCCCTGAGCAAGGATGACATGCAATATAAAATTCAAATTGACAAAGTTTTCAAGTTAATTCCATTTCCTGTATAATAAGCCTTCATGCTCCCTCTCTCAGGCCGCTCTCTGCCCTAAAGTCTCTGTGAACCTGGAGAGGAAGCAAATCTCAAATCCCTTTGGCTTCCTGACAGTAGATCTGGCCATGGATTTAGTATCAAATGTGATTGAACTAATGGGCAAAATTCTGATTTTTGATTAAGTTAGGACATTAGGATCTGGAGCTGCCTTGTCTATATGATAGTACAGACAAAACCAGTCAAACTCTAAAATATTTGAAGAGATTTATTCAGAACAAAATATGATTAACCATGGCTCGTCACACAGTCGCGGGAGATCCAGGGAACATGCACCCAAGCTGGTCGGGATACAGCTTGGTTTTATACGTTTTAGGGAGACATAGACATCAATCAGTACACGGAAGATGTACATTGGTTTGGTGTGGAAAGGCGGGACAACTGGAATCCAGGCTTTTGTAACCTGCATTACACTTCCCTGGATAGTGTCAGAAGCCTTTGAACAAGAGCAATTCCATCTTGAATAGGGGCTGGGTAAAATAAGCCTGGATTCCCAGGGGTTAGGACACTCTAAGTCAGAGCATGAGATAGGAGATCAGCACAAGATATGTTACAAAGACTGCTGATAAAACAGGAGGCTATTAAGAAGCCAGATAAACGCCACCAAAACCAAGATGGCAATGAAAGTGACCTCTGGTTGTCCTCACTGATCATTATATGCTAATTATAATGCATTAGCGTGCTAAAAGACCCTCCCATCAGCGCCAGGACAGTTTACAAAAGCCACGGCAGCATCAAGAAGTTATCCTATGTGGTGTAAAAAGGGGAGGGACCCTCAATTCCGGGAGATGACCACCTCTTTCCCAGGAAATTGTGAATAAGCCATCTCTTGTTTAGCATATAATCAAGAAGGAATGGCCAGGTGTGGTGACTGTAATCCCAGCACTTCAGGAGGCTGAGGCAGGAAGATCACTTGAGGTCAGGAGTTCAAGACCAGACTGGCCAACATGGTGAAACCCTGTGTCTACTAAAAATATAAAAATTAGCTGGGCGTGGTGGTAGGCACCTGTAATACCAGCTACTTGGGAGGCTGAAGCAGGAGAATCACTTGAACCTGGGAGGTTGAGGCTGCAGTGAGCAGAGATCATGCCACTGCACTCCAGCCTGGGTGACAGAACAAGACTCTGTGTCAACCCCTGCCCCCCGAAAAAACAATTAACAACGAGTATAAGCAGTTGGGTAGCCCATGCTACTGCTCTGCCTATTAAGTATTTCTGGTATTTTCTGGTATTCTTTGTTTCTTGGGTTTTTTGTTTGGTTGCTTGTTTGTTTTGAGACGGAGTCTCAGCACTAGCCACCAAGCCCTGCTACTTTTTGTATTTTTAGTAGAGTTCAGGTTTCACCATGTTGGCCAGGCTGGCCTTGAACTCCTAACCTCAAGTGATCTGGCCACCTTGGCCTCTGAAAGTGCTGGGATTTTGTTTCTTTTCTTCTCTAACTTACTTTCACTTTACTCTGTGGATTTGTCTTGAATTCTTTCTTGCACAAGATCCAAGAACCTTCTCTTGGGATCTTGATTGGACCTTTTTCTGGTAAAAACAGGCAGATTCAAAGATTTTCTGATTGGCAATTGGTTGAAAGAGTGTATCTAAAGATTCTTGTTACTCAAATGAAGCCTCCAGGTAGGAGGCTTCAGAGAGAATAGATGGGAAATGTTTCTTATCAGGTTAAAATGTGTCAGACTTTTAATCTCTCCTAGATCAGGAAAAAGACCTGCAAAGGGAAAGGGATTCTCTTCAGAATGTAGATTTTCCCCAGTGACAGTTTTGCAGGGCCACTTCCAAATATATGGAAGAAATACATTTTAGGGTAAAATTATTCAATTTATTTCAGAGCCTGCTATCTATCACATTGGTGTCTTGGGAAGCGGAGGTGGGTGGATCACAAGGTCAGGAGTTCAAGACAAGCCTAGCCAACATAGTGAAACCCTGTCTCTACTAAAAGTACAAAAATTAGCCAGGCTTGGTGGCAGGTGCCTGTAGTCCCAGCTACTAGGAGGCTGAGGAAGTAGAATCACTTGAACCCAGGAGGCGGAGGTCATGGTGAGCCAAGATTATGCCACTGCACTCCAGCCTGGGCAACAGAGGGAGACTCAGTCTTAAAAAAAAAAAAAAAAAAAAAGAGGCCAGGCGTGGTGGCTCACGCCTGTAATCCAAGCACTTTGGAGGCCAATGTGGTGGATCACCTGAGTTCAGGAGTTCAAGACCAGTCTGACCAACATGGTGAAACCCCGTCTTAAAAAAAAAAAAAAAAAAAAGATTCTGTTTGGCCAGTCTTAAGTTCTCTGTTTTAATGTGAATGCTGGTTGCTGTGCCTGAATTCCAAAGGGAGGAAGGTAGAATGAAGCATGTCCACAACCCATTCCCATCATGGCCTGAACTCATGTTTCAGGTTAACTTTAGAATGCCCTTGACCAAGAGGAGAGGTCTATTCAGTTGGTTGAGGGGAGGTATAGATTTGTATTCTTTTTTTTTTTGAGACGGAGTTTTGCTCTTGTTACCCAGGCTGGAGTGCAATGGCACGATCTCGGCTCACCGCAACCTCCGCCTCCTGGGTTCAAGCAATTCTCCCACCTCAGCCTCCTGAGTAGCTGGGATTAAAGGCACGTGCCACCATGCCCAGCTAATTTTTTGTATTTTTAGTAGAGACGGGGTTTCATCTTGTTGACCAGGATGGTCTCGATCTCTTGACCTCGTGATCCACCCGCCTCAGCCTCCCAAAGTGCTGGGATTACAGACTTGAGCTGGCCATAGATTTTTATTCTTGATTTACAATAGCCACTAGTACTGGTGGCTATTTAAATTAAAATTGTTTAAAATATCATCACATTATAAGTTCAGTGCCTTGGTTACACTAGCCTTATTGTTATTGGAAAAGGGTCCTGATCCAGACCCCAAGAGAGGGTTTCTAGATCTTCTACAAGACACAATTTGAGGTGAATCCATAGAGTAAAGTGAAAGCAAGTTTATTAAGAAAGTCAAGGAGGCCGGGTGTGGTGGGTGGGTGGCTCACGCCTGCAATCCCAGCGCTTTGGGAGGTCAAGGAGGGCAGATCACCTGAGGTCAGGAGTTTGAGACCAGCCTGGCCAACATGGTGAAACCCATCTCTACTAAAAATACACAAATTAGCCAGGTATGGTGGTGCTCACCTGTAATCCCAGCTACTGGAAGGCTGAGGCAGGAGAATCGCTTGAACCTGGGAGACGGAAGTTGCAGTGAACCAAGATTGCAACACTATACTCCAGCCTGGGTGACACAGCAAGACTCTGTCTCCAAAAGAAAAAAAGTAAATAAGTAAATAAAGGAATAAAAAATGACTCCATAGGCAGAGCAGCAGCATGGGCTGCTTGGCTAAGCATACGTATAGTTATTTCTTGACCATATGCTAAACAAGGGGTGGATTATTCATGAGTTTTCCATGAAAGAGATGGATAATTCCCAGCACTGAGGGTTCCTCCCCTTTTGAGACCTTACAGGGTAACTTCCTGACTTTACCATGGCATTTGTAAACTGTCATGGCACTGGTGGGAGTGTCTTTTTAGCACGTGAATGCATTAATAATTAGCGTACAATGAGCAGTGAGGACAACCAGAGGTGACTTTCATTGTCATCTTGATTTTGGTGGGTTTTGGCCGGCTTCTTTACTACAGGCTGTTTTATCAGCAAGGCCTTTATGGCCTGTACCTTTTTTTTTTTTTTTGAGAAGGACTCTCACTCTGTCGCCCAGGCTGGAGTGCAGTGGCGCAATCTTGGCTCACTGCAACCTCTGCCTCCCCAGTTCAAGCAATTCTCCTGCCTCAGCCTCCCAAGTAGCTGGGACTACAGGCGCACACCACCACGCTCAGCTAATTTTTGTATTTTTTAGTAGAGACAGGGTTTCACCATATTGGCAGGCTGGTCTCAAACTCCTGACCCCATCATCCACTCACCTCTGCCTCCCAAAGTGCTGGGATTACAGGCGTAAACTATGGCGCCTGGCCTGTGACCTGTTTCTGTGCCAACCTCCTCTCTCATGCTGTGATTTAGAATGTCTGACTTCCCGGGAACACAGCCCAGTAGGTCTCAGTCTTATTTAACCCAGCCCCCATTCAAGATGGAGTTGCTCTGGTTTAAACACCTCTGATGTTATTCCAAGGACTCACTGAGCACATGCAGCTCATGTCTACCATCCTGCACAGATCAGATGTAGAGCATGCCAGCATTCCATCACTGCAGAAGTTTCTATTAGACAGCACTGTTCTGGAGGGCCTAGGAGCTGGATGGCCCAGACATTCTGTCTCCCCTAGAGATGGCTCAGGAGCTATTCTGAGCTTCTCACAGGCTTCTGACTTGCCACAGCTTCACTTCTAGGTGCTAAGCCACTGTTTCCGCCTCCTGGAACATTTCAATCATTCCCACCTCACACCCTTCACCTAACTCCAGTGAGGTTCTACCTCACAAATTGCTCCCTCTAAGAAGACATCCCTAGCCTCCAAGAGTGTAGATCATGGCTGCTCATTGGCTGTCCGCATATGCTCCCAGCCCATTTCCCCGACCACGGCATCACAGCACTATGTATTATAATGATGTGTTCTTCCAGGCGCGGTGGCTCATGCCTGTAATCCCAGCACTTTGGGAAGCTGAGGCGGGCAGATCACCTGAGGTCGGGAGTTTGGGACCAGCCTGACCAACATGGAGAAACCCTGTCTCTACTAAAAGTACAAAATTAGCCAGGTATAGAGGCACAGGCCTGTAATCCCAGCTATTTGGGAGGCAGGAGAATCGTTTGTACCTGGGAGGCAGAAGTTGCAGTAAGCCAAGATTGTGCCACTGCGCTCCAGCCTGGGCAACAAGAGCAAAACTCCATCTCAAAAGAAAGAAAGAGAGAGAGAGAGAAGGAAGGAGGGAAGGAAGGAAGGAAGGAAGGAAGGAAGGAAGGAAGGAAGGAAGGAAGGA